GTTTCCTTTTGTTTTTTACCATTTGCTTGGTTTTGCATTTTTTTTTGCATGACAAATGAGGAATATCCATCGTGGCTATTAAGATCCTCAGACATTGATCGAAACACAAACACCCCAGACAGAGCAGCCCGGTTCCAGGAAAATCCTTTCGTTGCCATCCTGCAGTTCCACTGAACTATTTTGGCAAATTTCTGTGAGAAGCAATAAAGACATAAACCTTAATTTTCCGTAATTAAACCCTTTCGCCATGAATCATAAACACGCGTGCAGCAGGTCAGAGCGGTCAGAGCGGCACCGACCCATGTGCTGACCAAAGAACAACCGGGTCCGCCAGAACTTATCGCGAAAACTACGAGACGCCTGCGAACCGCAGTTCGTCGTGCAGTTTGCAAACACAAATACGCGATAAGAAACAATTTGAGAACAATGCAATTTTGAGGATCGCCCTCCAGCAAGCGGAATTTTCTACTGCGAATTAAAGACTGGGGCAAGGGGAGGGGGAAGAGTGGCACAGCACACCACACGGCACACCGCAAGACAACACCTACCTGGTCAGGCAGTTCATTACGAGGACTCAGCTTCATTGAGTGACTGCAGTGCGGTTGGATTACGTGCGGATTCTCCCTGCTAATCCCCCATAATAATGATCGCCGGCTCAGAGCACCGGTAAACATCATCATCTTGGTGGCTCATCCTTATCCACATCTTCATCTTTTAGTCAAAAAGTCAGCAAAGTCAACACTGACCGAAAGGCGGATAATAATTTGGGAAAATTCACGATGCCAAACACATGTGGACAGTGGCGTGCCCAAGGGGGTTCCTCAGGCAGCAACTGTGTGTCCATCTCTGGAGCCTTTGTTCCTTATTTTACACTTTCACTGGCACAATGATATGGGGGGACTGGGGTAAAGGCGTTGATAAGATTAAAAGCGGAGAAAAGCCGGGGGCACGCCGAGTGCCCCAGAGCCCATAAATGCTCGTGTCCAGATTATGACCAACTGCTCGGTCGCTGCAAGTTTTCATTTTTTATACCCGTGCTCGTACTTTTATGCTGCTCTATCAGCTTCGAGCGCCCCTTCGAGCGTGGTGGGGCGGGGGAGGTGAATGCACTTGCGAACTAGTTTCGGGCGAAGATAGCGCCCAACGAATCTCGCGGCCCTGCCAAAAAATGCAGTTGAAAAATGAACAGATAGAAACGGCACCGTGAAATGCGGTTGACCTTAATTTCCGAACATGATTAATGGGTTTTGCAACGCAGACCCAACGTGGAGGCCCAGAGGAAGCCCAGAGGAGCGGAGGAGGAGAGGGGAACAGAGGGTCGGATGGCGAGCACCGAAAAAATTAATGACGAACAATTAAAAAAAATATAAGTTAAATACATACAGGAAAGGTGGAGAGACGAGTGGTACAGCTGCATCATGATGCCAGTGCATGGATGTCTATAAAAAAGGACCCGCTTTCTCGCCGATCCCTGCGTGAGATGGATTGCAGGTGCATTACAGAAATTGCAGAAAGTTTTGTGGGACTCTGCCCCTCTGCCTGTTCCGTCTGTTCTTAAAAAGACAACCCCGTCGACCGTTATTTTGCAATTTGCATACAAAATCAAGAAATCGTAAAAGGGTTAGGGCAAAATCGTAAGGGGCAAGCCCTATGCAAATCGATCGCAGTCGACCCCGAAAATGCATTCAATTATGCATTGATTGCTGAAGGTCGTTACTTATCTTTATGCCATTCGATTCGGAATTTGCATAACTAAGACGAAGGCGAAGAAGAGGAAAACGGAGGCCGAGAAATTGTCCTTTCCTACCTACTATGCCCGATTAGCGAGAGGGGAAGAGGGAGATAGAGACTAAACGAAAAGAAGAAAATTAAAAACATAAACATACATAAAAAAAAAAAAAAAAAACGACAAAGCATGAAACGCAGTCCAAAATGGCGCCGAGCTTCGAGGTAGAGTTTGCAGGGAACGGCACCGGGGCGTGGAAGGGGTCCCGAATAAAAAACCAAAAGCGGAGAACAACAAAAAATTCACTCAGATACCAGTTTTCCACGCACTGACAACCTGCCGACGTCCGTCCGGCCGGCCGCACAAGCGGTTTGGTCAGTTGGAACAGCACGAAAAATGCAGTCGCCAAAAAAGGAGGACTGCAACTCTCTCTTTCCCGCTGCCACCGATATTGGTGCCAATGACAGCAGCAGCAGCAGCAGCCATATGCAACCCACACACACACATAAGCCAACACACGCACAGCACTCTCACGCACTGCAAGAAACAGAGAAACAGACAGGCAGTCAGAGAAAGAGAGAGCGAGAGCGAGAGAGAGAACGAGAGAGTGCAAGCGCAAAAAACGCACAAGACTGCAAGCAGCGAATGCGTGCGCGAGCGAGAGAGCGCGAGGGTGCGCCGAGCCGTAGGACAGTTTTCCTCTCAACGCGTCGAACAGTTTGCTTCCCCTTCTGCTATTGCCGTCCCCGTCTCTGGGTACTGCTGTCTCGCTCGGTAGGTCGGGAAATTTGGTCTTCAATGACTTGGCTGCATAGAGCGCCGTGGCAGTTTTATTCAACTTTGAACGCTCGAATCTGCAACAACGCAAAACCAACAACGCACGACCAGAGGAAAACGACAAACGTGTCGCAGTTTGTGGAAACCTAAGACTATAAGAGCTCCATCTGGGATAGGCATAAGCTGCGTCCTCAACTAGTGTCTGTGTGTGCGGTTTTCAGTGCAATTTCGATTCGGATTTACCCAACCCAACAGTCAACGATAACCAATTCCCAACACAACAAACTAAATCAATTAAAGTCGAGCAATGTGCAAAACATTCAAAACAAGGCAAAGCTAAAACCTACCAGTAAAAACCCAATTGACAAACAATCAAACAAACTTGTTAAAATATCAACAAACCGCTGCAAGTGTCCAGGACTCTCTTTGGCCACTAAAAAAAAAGGCTTGTGCTTCGCCTGCGGCGATTTCATTATTTTGTGGTAAGCCCTGATTAGTAATCAGATATTTGATTCTATTAAATTAGTCTACTTAAACGGCTCGTCAATAGTTTTGTTTCCCATTCGTTTGGGCTTCCAAAATCGTTATTTTTTGTTGTAGTTTTGCAATTAACAATTCGTGGAACGTGTTCAAGAAATTGACACAAAAAAACTGGAAAACCCCAAACCGGTTTCCAAGTGCATTCGTTTCAATGACGTCCGTCCGTTCGTCCGTCCGACTGTTATTTTTTGATCATTTTTAATTGAATGGTTTATAAAATGGTGGCCCACTGTCAGCCAAAGCTGCGAAAGCTCACGCTCGGAGAGCTTTCGGCATTTTGGCGATCACACGACGTATGCGCGATATAGCGCCCGTATAAGAGTTTCTGTGGAGGCAAGAACGAGGCGTTAATGCGCTGCCCGATGGCTTATGACCACATCTAATGCGCTTACTCGGCCAGCGTCAATCGGCAGACACGAATTCGAAACCGCTTACCTGCTCAGACAGAGACAGCGACAGCGACAGGCAGCGACTTCAATCTGTTGCGCAAAACGGCAGCGAAGGATCGAGTGGAGGGGGAAGGGATCGCTGCAGGTTGCCCATTATCCTGTTGGCCAGACAATGGACAGATAACAATTGATGATCTCTTGCGCATTTTCCGCACTCCACCTCCACCTCCATCTCCATCACATCACCATCCCCGACAATAATGCGATCGTTTGTTTGCCTCCTTTGTCTGATTGTCCGCTTTTCTTCTCTGCCCTCGCCCTCTCCGTCGCCGTCCTTGTCTCCGTCTTTCCTCTCACCGCTCTCAGGGGCCTCGCCCCTTTGACATTTTCCTTGTTGTTTGATTGCCATTATCTGGCCTGGCTTCGCTTAGTTCGCAATTCCGCCGGTCGCTCGACTGGGGCCTCGCTCCTATCATACCTGTTGGTAACTGGAGACTCACTGATACACTCGTAGATGGGCCGGCACGGACGGCTCACACGACACATGGCAAGGACGCAGGCGGGGAGGTTGCCCGATGCATGATGCATGTCCAACACATGACGCAGATGGGCCATCGGTTCGGCATATGGCGTCCACTTGAGTCTGAAATTCGACTACGCGTCGGGCCTCTCCATGGGCAAGCCAAGGGCAAGGGCATATGGCCTCCCTCGTCCTCGGAAAATGAACGAAAATTATTGCAAGTTTTTCAGTAACATTTTTCATTTCCTTGGGCGTGTGTGTGTGTGTGTGTGCGTTGGTGACTTGCCTTTCCATTTCCACTTTCCAGGCGGCGTAAAAAATGATATACATATACCTCGTATTTACGGATATACATATATATGTATATGGAAAGTAAAACGCGCGAAAAGCAGCCGGAAAAATACGCGCACACATCTTTCGAGGGATGTTTGCATATTTTTTCCCCCATTTTTTCTACACGTTTTCGTTCACCCTCCTCTGCCTCTGGCACGGCCACTGTCTGTGCCTCCTTCATTGGCAAGGAGCGCTTTCACTTTTTATGGCGCATAAAACTTCAGGGGGTGGCGATGGGCATAAATTTTACAGGCAAGATTTTCCGCCAAAAAACAGAAAAACAGGAACGGGAACGGGTATGGGAATGGGAATGGGAACGAGAACTTTTGCAATGGTGGAGGAGAGAGGACGATGGAGAGGAGAAGGTGACCATCCCCAGTTTCGCACACCTGTATATGTACGCGTGTGTGCGTGAAGGAGGCAGAGAAATATAGAGGTATTAAGGAGGGGGACGAGACCAGCCTGGTTTCCTGGTTACCCTGGTCTGAGAAATTCACTCGATTATTTTAGCAACCTATGCGAAATCTGAATTTTTGCCTGTTCCCATTGACGTGTGGGGAATCATTTGTGCAAACTATCGAAAGCAACAAACCGGAGCGAAAACCTTTTACTAATCTTCATGGAAACATTTTTCTCTCCCGCGGCAGGCCCAACAGTGATCCCGAAGCCTTAAACTGGCGCTCAAAGTCCGGAAGCATCTTTCCTCCTACTCGCCAACGCTGCTGAGTGCCGCGTTCACCAGCCTGAACAGCGTCTACCACAGCAGCAGCGACACCGCTCCCGACGAGGAGCCGGAGCAGCCGCCAGTCCATCACCAGGGCCATCGCCATCGGGTGAACAGCCACAGTCACAGTCACAGTCACCGGGATCGCGGCCACAGCCAGAACAGCAGGGCAGAAGAGATGGGCGGGCCCACAGCGCCCGTGGCCAGCAGCGAGGGCCAGACGTACTGCCTGCGCTGGAACAACCACCAGACCAATCTGGTGCAGATCCTGCACGCACTGCACGAGGTCGGCAGCTACGTCGACTGCACCCTAGTCGTCGACGATGAGCAGTTCAAGGCACACCGCGTGGTGCTGGCGGCGAACTCGCCGTACTTCCAGCACATCCTGCAGGACGTGCCCCAGGACCAGTGCAGCATAATCCTGCCGGGCGTGAGGGGCTTCGAGATCGCGGCCTTGCTTCAGTACATGTACACGGGTGAGACCACGGTGACCAAGAGCCAGGAGCCGGAGATCCTGCGCACTGCCAAGGAGCTGCAGGTAAAGGGGCTCTACGACAATCTGATGAAGTACAATCACAAGGCGGCCAGCGCAGTGGAGGAGCGTGACCAGAGCCAGTTCCATGCCAGCATCACGCCCACCTCCAGCTCGGGATTGGGCGTTGGCTCTGGCAAGCCCCTCAACGGGTCCTCTGCCGACGGCTCCTTCGGCCAGCAGCACCACAACTCCTCCTCCGTGATCTCAACGTCCACGCACATCTCGCCCAGCGCCGCCATCTCGAGCAGCTGCTCACCACCGCCGCCGCCATTCGGAAGCTACCAGCCGCCGTACACAAACTTCCCGCCTGGATCAGGACCTATCAATCCACATCCCCACATCCCAGCCGGTGAGACTCCCCTGACGCCCACGCATGCCACTTCGCACGCCGTAGCCGGTGAGGCAGGCCAGTGGCCCCTCTCGCCCTCCGCTGCCGCTGCCGCCATGCTGAACTCCGTCTATGAGTCCGCCGCCGACATGAATCCGCTCAAGCGCAAGAAGCTATCGGCCATCTCAAGCATGCTACTCAACAGCACCCGGGACACGCCCATTCTGCGCAACGTGCTGGCCCAGGCCAACCCAGCTGACTCCTCGCAGCCCAATCCTCTGCTGCTGAAGAGCTCCTCCACCTCCTCCCTAAACGAGAAGACTCCCACCCATCAGCACCAGCACCAGCCGCCGCACCAGCACCACAGCGGAGTCGGCGTGAGCGGCGGAACCGGTAGCCACAGCTTCAACGGCTCGGACTACGGCGGCGACAAGGAGCCCCTATCACCGCACACGGACCGTTCCTTTGATGAGGAGACTGGCGGGCCGGGCGGCAAGAAGCCGGAGTGGAAGCGTTATAAGCAGTACACCCGGGCGGACATGATGTGCGCCATTCAGGCCGTTCGGGAAGGCATGAGTGCGCTCCAGGCGAGCCGCAAGTACGGACTACCCAGCCGCACCCTCTACGACAAGGTCCGCAAGCTGAACATCACTACGGGCCGTGGCACGCATCGCACACCCAAGCGCAGCCCACCCGGGGTTGAGTCCTCCGCCGCCTTTCCCTACTCCGCAGCAGCCGCTGCCGCAGCTGCCCACAGCTACGGACATGTCCACGGGCATGGCCAGCCGGATCTAGAGCGTGAGCCGAAGGAGCATGGCCAGCATAGTGGCCATGGAGGCGGCCACCACGGCATGCCACCCACCATTCCCCATTCGGCAGCCGCCCTTCTGGATCACGCCTTTCTGCAGCAGGCCCTGGAGAACCGAGGCGGGGATATGGCCGGGCGTGAAGCACTCCACGCCATGGCCCTGGCAGCGGCCGCCCACGCAGCTGCCAACCGAATGTCTAGCAGCCCCCAGGAGTCCGGCTCCAATGGACACGCAGCCAGATCTCCAAGTCCAAGGGCTCGGCACTACTCCGAGCACGAGGCCATGGAGATAGAGATGGAGAAGCACGAGCAGCGCCTGATCAAGAGGGAGCGGGACCAGGACGAGCGCGATGATGCTGACGATGAAGATGATCATGACCAGGAGCAGGATCACGATCACGATCACGATCACGACCATGTGGAAGATCTATCGCTGGCACGCAAAGAACGCCCCGAGTCGCCCTACTCTCCTCAGCCCCCACGGGCCTCCTCGCCGGTCGAGAGCGCCAGTGTGATCATGCACTCCAACAGCGCCTCCACCAATGGAAAGGACCACGAGGATTATCCCCACTCACCACCGCCCGTGGCCCTGGGTCTGGGCCTGAAGCGGGAGCTACTTGGCGGCGAGGAGTCGCAGGCTAGAACCGACTGATTGACGCTCACCATGGCCTGGCAGTACGCGGCGGACAGCTACGATTCCATATGCTAGACCTGCTGGGCCAGATGCACGACCCCAGTACACCGCCCCAAGGTGGTTACCCTTCACTCCCCTTGTGTTATTATTTTCTTTTCGGCGTACAACGTGCGACTAAACTGTTGTTTTCTCAATGGCATCGACATCGATCAGCGATCAGCGATCAGTCGATCTGCGTTGGTGAAGCTTTAAACGAGAACCCCTTATCCCAGTCGAGGCGGGTGCACACCAGCATCTGCACCTTAGGAGGAAATCAAATCAAATCCACAATCTAAAATAAAATTGTTGTCAGCATCACTTTGTGCCTAATACAGAAACGTTAGCTTAGAATAGGATATTCATAGGTTACACACACTCACACACCCACACTAGGCTAGGAGACACCCCCCCCACTTTGACACTTAGGCTAGGCACTCGATGGCCATCTTAGCTTAGGAGCTAGCTAGTTGTGGTCTTTGAAGCTCAATGGCTCAATGGCTCAATGGCTAAGGAAACATATGTAAACTATACACTTACATAAGACTGAAGGAAGAATCCGCGTATTGCATATTAGAGGCGATCAAGGGCAGAGCAAAAGAGGCTACCTATACCCCGTAGGGTAGGAACATTTGACAGGATCAGGTCAGAATGAGCTAGCGAGTTAGCAATACTTTGTACAACTTTGTTAATGCCAGTGATTTGTTTTAAAAATTATTAGCACTAGATATTTATAATAGACACATACATACATACATACATACATACGTACGTATAAAGCCTTATGTTTATGATTTCCGTGACGTCTATAAGAAATGAAACAGATATGAACACAACTACCTCAATAAAGCCTATTCTAGTTTTTTTTTAAAGAACGAACTTCTTTGTTACCTTATCATTATCATATTAGCGTTAAGCACTGTCCTGGGTTGAATTTTATAAGACTGACACCGACTCAAACGGCTCAAAAGTAGCACGAGAATATGCAACAAGAGCCGAGCACATTAAATACAAATTAAAATACAAATGGCAACCTATAGAGTTGAGCGTACAAATTCAGAACCATAACCTACTTAGATCTAAGCCAACTTAGAATGAATGAATTAGTCCATAGGTCCAACTATGACTCTACACATAACTATAACTTAAGCTTAGGCAAAAACAAAGCAAAACACAACAAAATTAATATTTATAAGCAAATCCAACAAACATGCGCTGGGGGCAATGCAATAGGCTCTTTAATTATAAACACCTACACAGATACAATTATGTAGTCGTACGGTTGATAATGTTAATTTGTTATACGAGTAACCTCTGTACATAGAATCGTAGTCTATAAACACACACACGCATCATACATACATGCACATCCATACAAGTTATACAAAGATCGAGATGCAGTTATTAGATCTAGTATTAAGTAAAGGAAATTGTAATGCAATTTAAAGTAGACACCGGACTTACATTATTTAATGATAAGCGATCGAATGCGAAATAAACTGACTGAATCAATCGAATATGAGACTCTAACTATCCCTACCGCCAAGACGCAAGTCACGATTAGGCAATATCGCAGCCATTCAGTCTGGAGTTTATCTTTATTACACTAATCTGTTAGAAAAATACACATATATTTTTACATCGACACAGACGGGACCTGGGTCGTCTCGGAACCACCATTAGGATGCGGATGGGGATTTGAGCCGGACTAAGACGGACACAATACACACGAGACTAACTATCTACACGCGAATAGTAAAAACACTGAGGTAAAAGTCTTGGCATACGATTTGACCCTCCACCATTTTGATCAACTTAAGTTACTGGCAGCCCACACAATTGGGCTGGTGGCGGTTCTCGAAATCGCATATTCCAATGGCGAAGCGGAAGGGCTTATGGTTGGGCAAGTGCATGGGTCTGCTGGATGGCGTGGCTACTCCGGGCAGGAGCAGCTCTCGCTCCTCGTACTCCCACTTGTGGTTGGTTGTTTCAGGCTGGGGCGGATAGTTGCTGATTGAAAGAGCGCGATCGATCCGGATGAGCGGTGGGTCAGCGTTGGGACTGTGCCCGCAACGGGCGCAGTGGGCCAGCAGCTTGGCTTCACTGAGGAAAGCCAGGCGGCAGAAGTTGCACTGGTAGTTGATGCCCTTGTTGTGGAGCACCAGATGGCGGTCCAGTTGATGCTGGAACTCGAACTCGTCCTGGCACTTGTGGCAAATATACACGCCGCGGTTCTGCCGATGCAGATGGTAGTCAAGGAAAACTCTGCAAAGTACAGGGGGCCATGTTAGAAGGCAGGATATCCGAGGGAGTTTTACATACTTGCTGGTGAAAACGTCCCCGCATTTCTGGCAGTAGAACCAGCTCATCTTCCAATGACGCATGTAGTCGTGCTTCATCAACTCGCTAAGGCTATCCGTCTGGTAGCCACAGGCTGGGGTGAAGCAGGAAAACTCATTCAGCTGCACTTGCGCCTTCAGCAAATCAAGCATGTATAGATCTGTCGATGGAAACAAAAACGTTATCACATTAAAAGCTGCCTCTGTGTCCCTGAAATACTTCATATTGTAACGAACGGGCAAATCCATTAGACCGACTATTGGATTGTTCCGAAAAATATGAGCCGTATATTACCATACTCCTTGTCTGTTCTTATATGTGACTCTTCCAGCACGTAGTTGTCGTAGAGCCGGGACAAATTAAGGGCACTGTTGCTGTTGCTTCGGCTGTGGTTCACAATCCAGTCGCCCGTGAAGTTCATTCTCCGTGTGTACATGGTATCCACCTGCTCATCCTGTTCATTTTCGTCCAGCTCCTGCTCGTCGCATTCGCTGTCATTGTCCTCCTCCTCGACATTGGTAGTGTACTTATTCCAAATTTCAGAACATGCCCGCGAACGCGAGCGCGTCGACTGGGCCCTTACCCTGTGATTAGTCTCATTCGTATTTTGGTGGAGTTTTAGCGCCTGCGAAAAGTTTGTTATAACTCCTGCTGCTTCAGAAAGAATCCGAGTTGGTACTTGCCTCATGCTTGGCACTGCAAATTGTGTGGTGCAGATCCCACTCATACTTGGTGTCGAAGGCCACCCCGCACAGACTGCACGGATGCCGGGTCTGGTGGGTATTGCGCTGGTGCTGGCGTAGGCTGATTACTGTGAAGAACTCCTTTTCGCAGTTGCGGCAGTGAAAGGTACGAGTAGGGCGCAAGGACGACTGCAGCGCACGTGGCGACACAGTGTCGTCATCGCTGCCGGCTTCGTTAAGCACACGACACCTAGCCTTGGGCAGACGTTGTTGCGATTTGCACCGGCGCGAGTGCATAATGAAATAGTCTTTGCGGAAGTAGGCTCGCCCACAGTGTTGACAGACGAGCCGCGTGCGCCACTTCCAGCCGTCCTGGATATTAACACTGTTGTTGCGAGTGCCGCCTGACTCGGTGGCGGAAGGAGATTCAGGTGGCTGGGCAGAGTAGGCTTCTAGTCCGGAGCAAGAGGAGCGTGAGCTGCGACTGCTGTGGTCATTGGCTGCCATTTCGCTTTCCTGCACCTCTACCAGAGTGGTGGACACCTCGGCATCCGCTATGGGAGGACTTAGTTGCGTGGGCGTAACCGTGGTCGTCGTCACGGTGGACGTGCCGCTCCCTGTTTGTTGCAGCCGTTGCATCCGCTGCATCAGGGAGCGAGTGACCTCCGAATGCATGTTCAACTTGCAAACGCACTCTACGCATATGGCCTTCAGCGTAGACCGGATCACATCTGCCTGCAATAGTGAGGGACTCTCATTACATCCATGGCGCGAATAACGCTGCGGAATACTCACCTGCATCTTCCAATCACGACTGAGGCGACGCTGCATTACCTGATTAGACCTGAGGTCCAGCAGGGCGGACGACTTGGCGGCCCCGCAGATGGTGCAGTTCGCGCTGTCGGCCTCCGTCTCAACATTCTGGAGCTGGCCGTTGCACTGTCCGGCGAGTCCTTTTCCCCCGCCACTGCTGCTCGGCTCGGCATCTCGCATCTTGTCAATAAGATCTGCGTTTCAATTGCAAAATGTCTTGCATTTTTTATATTATTCACTAAAATTGTTTATTGAACAGAGTGCTCGAAGCTCAGTTATTATAAATATTTATAGCGCGTTTTTTCAGATATGTGGACTACCCTGGCAGTGAACTATCGATAAGGCCATCGGCCTGCAGGCGATTGTTTTATTTGGGCGCGAACACAAATCAATTTAAATTTGGAACTCGACTTTCCAGCAGCTCCATTTGGCCAATGCTCCGGGCCATCCAATAGGGGTAAGATTCTGGTGCTGCAGAAACTAATGGTGCCTTGTTTGGCTCCCTACAAGTACGGAGGAAGGAAATATAGCACCGCATTCGTCCGTCTCAGCAAATACAGGTATTATAAGCAGTGGCAGACAAGGCTAGGCGAGATTCGAAGAATCTCCGTATTCAGGGCAGACTATGAAAATCAGTTATGCTGTAATTTCGTTTAATAAATATAAAATAAATATTTAGTTCAAAAAATCCACCCTGTTTATGTATTTTGTCATCGATAGTACATCAAAAAATTTTCAACAATGTCCGATAAAAAGGTCAAAAGTGGATAACCGATGTTTTCACATGTCATATTTTAATCCTTGTTTTAGTCAAAAAGCAATAAAAGCAAGGACTAAAAACTAACCAATGTTGTAGAAAATGTATTCATCAATGGCCTTAAATTATGTCGGCAGAACTAAATGTCCTATCTAGATCGTAATATTCGACGGAATATCAAATTGAGAAATATGAGAGAAACATTCGTTTGTTTTGTTTGCCCATTTTCGGTAAAACTTTTTTTTTTCCTATTTCGCTATACCCTTTTTTTATGCAAAATCAAATAAAAGCAAGTAGTAAGAATAAGCCAGTAAAGTAGAAAAATGATTCATCAATCGTATAAAACTATGTGGGCATAGCTAAATGCTCTAGCTAGCTAGTAATATTCCGCGGAATATCATAGTCGAGGAATATGGTTTCCAATGCTTGACGGAGAACGATTAACCCATTGTAGACCAAGGAGGTGTTATAATATTTCACCGAAAATAATGAAAATCAAATAATTTTAGCGCAGTTCAGGTAAAAGTTAGCGTTGTTATTTTTAAGTACAGAGAAAAGATGGCTTGAATCTGCAAGAAGAATTTACAATCATTAATTTCAAGTCGTTGAACTGCTTAAATAGAGGGGGGTTAAGTCGGCTAAGTCACTTATCGATAAAACTGTTTATCAGACGCGTCAACGTGCTTTCGGAAAAAGTTTGCAATTTTTAATTAATTAATTATAAAATGGGCGTACAAGTTGTTCCAATTTCTCCCGGTGACGGTAAGTTAGGCAATTTAACGATGTGCAACAGATCCTGGCCGGGCGAGTGAAGCATAACCTTAGAAATGCTTGCGGTGGATGCCCCGGAAAATTACTCGAGCGTTGCCTATATCCATCTCGCTCACTCTCATCCATTTTATATCTTCGCAGGCAGCACATTCCCCAAGAACGGCCAAAAAGTCGTGGTGCACTACACCGGAACCTTGGACGATGGTACCAAGGTACAGCTCATTGAAGTACAGTACTGAACAAGTCAATCTAATAATGAATTATCCCTAGTTCGATTCGTCGCGCGACCGCAACAAGCCCTTTAAGTTCACCATCGGCAAGGGCGAAGTCATCCGCGGCTGGGACGAGGGCGTTGCTCAGTTGAGTGTGGGCCAGCGCGCCAAGCTCATCTGCTCCCCGGACTACGCCTACGGCAGCCGTGGACACCCAGGAGTCATCCCCCCCAACTCCACCCTTACTTTCGACGTCGAGTTGCTCAAGGTCGAATAAGTATCCGGAGCGGGAGTGCATGTGTGTGTGAGCACGGCCCGACTGCAATTGGTTGTGCGTGTGTATACCATCAGAAACACGGACAGGCGCACACACCATTCCAATCAATACCCAGAACACAGAGACACGGCGACACAACACTAGCAAACCAGAACAATCCAGCAGCATTTGAACTCCACTCAAAAGAAAGCTAATTAGACATAATTTAATCGAAAGGGAAACGCATCTTCTACGCATACTAAATAAACTAAACATTTATTCAATATCAATATTTATCATTTCGACTATTTTATGATTTTCGACACCTGATGCATGATCTGGTCGATGACCTCGTAGCGCTCGTGGTTGTACTTTTGAGTATGCTCTTCCCAGTGATCGCGTACGCGCTTCCAGCGAGCCATATTGGCGGAGAGTAGATCGTCCTTGGCGGCCCCCTCCAGCTTCTTGTGCTGCAGCTTCTCCTCCTTGGTGTACTCCAGGCGGGGTGGGACCACTGGCAGGTCTGTGGAGCGAGGCTTCGGCATGTGGGTCAGAATTTTAATCTCGCCGCTCTTTAGCTTCGCCAAAACTTCCTCTGCGTCGCTCTCGCGCTTCACTGTGGAAGTGGAGCCCTCCGTGTTGTAAGTGGACACGGCGGGGTTGCGCGGCTGGTTGGCCATCCAGGCGCGGCAGATCGGATACAGAGGAGTCTTCTCATTGTACTTCGAAAGGTCCAGGCTGCGCTCGAACAGGCGCATCACATACGATTCGCCGGGCGTTTTGTGGTGTCCCGAGCCACTCTTCTTGTAGAGCGCCCGCTTCACCTTTGAGCGGTTCGGCAAGGCTGTGGCGCCCGCTGTTACGGCGTTCAGCTCCGGCTGCAGCTTCACCTGGTATTGGCTTACTGGTATTTGGCGCTGCTGTTGCTGCTGGATCAGCAACTTCTTCGACGGGCGGCCGCGTATGGGCAATTCGGATTCTGTGTCGTCGTCGGTCTGTTGGTCGCTCAGCTCCGGTATGGGTTCTTCCTTTTGCGTCTCCCGCAACCTTAGCGAAAACTCAGCCCCCACACTCTTGTGCATCTTCTTGGGCGACTTCATTTTCTACAGTGCTTCTTTTGCGTTGCAAATTAGAAAATTGGAAATGTATAATTTTTGAAACAGCTCGGAAGTCAAATGTTGGTGCGACGTTTTCCAGCACTTTTTTATATCGAAAAAAAATACTGAAAGTAATCGAATAGAAATATTTTCGCAAAGCAAAAATTTTTATTGAATATTTATTTGCATTTACGTAGGTTCGAACTGATCGACTACTATTATTTTCTAGCAATACTAAAACTAAATAATGTGGGAATACCACATACCAGTGAGATCGAGAGAAAAAAATATCTACCAAAACCAAATAAAACGGAAAACACATTCCTGTGCTCACAAATTTAGTAGGACGAATAGATACGACAATATAGTACTTAAAATATGCGAGAGTGTCGTATTAGCAGAAGCAATTATTTCCTTCAAAAATAGTGCTATAATTTTTCTCGCAATACAAAAAATTGTATATGTTATATCCATTATTTCGTTCAAAAAGAGGACTTAGGTGACCTTACCTAATGAATTGTACCTTGTGTTCACATGCACGGTTGTTGCGAGCGGGAGAGAGAATCGTAAAAGAGAACTGAAAAAAGTACGAATCTAGTCAGGAGAGGTACAAAGAGAGAGAAAAACAACCACGCTACCCTGGACATAGGATTTTATAAAGTTGCTTAGTTATTACCAAAGTAGCAAAAGTCTGGAGCAGCACTCTAGTCTCTCACTTTTATAGCTGTAAGAGTATCAACGATAAATAGATAGATCAAAAACCGTTCCCTCTGAAAAACAATCGCTTAACAGCAATACGAGTTTAAACACACATAGGGTATATAAGCGCCAATCAACACTCGCATCCTGCAACCGGTTTGCTGGTCGAATTACCGGCTCTCTTCTGCTCCTCTCTTGCGACGAAAAAATGAGTCGGGAGAGCGCAATTTCGAATGGTCTATTAACGGGGGGTACGGATAACAAGCAAAAAGAGCCAATGCAAATTGCAAGTTTGATAGGATCCCTACCTCGGCGAACGCTCTCAATAAACCTTGATTTTGTCTTCAAGGTATATTTTGCAAAACGGTTGATTTTGCCTTGCGTGCGTTGCATTTTCTGTGCCGTTTTCTCTGCTGCCCATACCTTTTTTCTTCCGGCATTTCGAGGCGCGCGATTTGAAAGAAGGGCCGCTGACCAAAATAAAGATAAGAATTACCGGTCGATTTCAAACGCATTTAATTATTTTTTGAATCGAGTGGTTGCTGCGCGCGTCGCGGATAAACGAATTTCGGAAGCTACAAAATTCGCTAAAAGCCTGTGCGTTATATTATCCCTAAACGGTAAAAGTTGTGCGTGCGCGTTTTCACTTGATTTGCAAAGTTATCAATAAAAAAAACAAACCAATTGAGACGCGTGTTATTCAGTAAGTTCGCATCAGCAGTAATATTGAACAGAAAGTGGATAGGATAATTCGGGAGTTCAAAATCGTTGCGGCGTATTATTCCACTTGGTATTGTTTGCATGGTGACTTTTGCTAAAATTTGCCAAACAAAAAACGGAGTTGTAGCTTGACTAAAGTGCTGCTGTGATAGTGGCCGTGGATGCGCGCAGCATCCTTGACGATGACGTCATTCGCTGACCAGTTCTGAGCCTAGCGTGTGTGTGTGTGGTGCGTGTGTGCATGTGTATGTGTTAAATTAGAACGTTGACGAACCAAGGCCATGAATCGGGTGCTGTAGTACCGTTCTTCCCGTATTTTCTGTGAATATTTCTTGGCAATACAATCGGGCATTTTGTTTGTAGAATTTGCATTTTGTTTTATTTGTTGCCTCTAATTATGGTTTTTCGATTCTAGGACTTTGCAAACGAAAGCAACGGGTAAATCGAGTTCGAACTAACGGTGTACACAGAAAACTTTGTTTCGGGTAAGTACCGATTTTTGAACTGGGTCAAACATCAACAAGGTGGCTGTTTCTCCCATTACGAGTGCCTGTGCCTGAAATTTCTATATTCCTATTGTTCATGGCCTCATTTTTATGCAAGGGGAGCCTGCTATTATCTGCTCCAAATGCCATGTAATACATATGTATTGTTTGTATGTAAAGCTCTTAACTGGCGTGTTACGGGCGCGGGGGGCTGTGATAATGAATTTTTAATGTGTGCTAAGAACCGCAGTCCAGCCAGGCTGGAGCTGCAGCTGGAGCTGGCTCTGGCGCCAGTAGAAAAGTTAAAACTCACATAAATTAAACTTCCAACATCTTCAAAGGAGCCAGGCGTCGGGACAGTACAAGTAGTATTCGGAGTTTGCGAAGTTTCGTTCCCCCCTCCGCTCGCTCCCTTCACTTACTGCAGAGGCAGCCCCAAAATGTTGTGGGTTTTTATTTGGGGAGGCTGTAAATAATGAAAGGGCAGACAAGCAGCAGACTGAACATCAGCGGCAACAACAACAACACGAAGCTTTGCTTCCTGCAGGCGAGTCCTGTGCGGTGCCCCCAAAGGAATACGGGGCAACATAATCAAAGGCTTTTATTGCGCCATCGAATAACCAGGGAACTGTTGCCTCGAGTGGAATCGTTGTTATTGGGCCAGGAGGAGGCCGGAAACCCGGGACGGGCAATTTTCCTGCTCCTGGTGTCTCGTGACAGGGCACGTTCGACCTAATAAGCATGTGGCGGGGGTTCCGAGGGTTGCCCTGCATGGCCTGGCATTTATGACTCCGGTTCTGACTCCAAGCACCAACTCGAGCTCCACAGAGTCGTAAGTGCTTCCGTGTGCCTATCCTCAGGCTGGGGGGAATCGATTTTCGATGATAATCGAGTTGAATGCACTGAAAATTTGGTTACGTTTCTGCCACCTTTGCGGGGATGAAACTGGGAACTGGGAAATCGGTTTTTCTTTGGCGCTGACTCACGGATATTTGAGTTGAAGGAGAATTCAGGCTGATATTTGATAAGCATCTACGTTCGTTGTTCCTTTGTTCCTTGGCTCCTGCTTGGGGAGTCAGGGGCGCCAGGGGAGCCAGCCGGCGCACCAGCGCCAGAACTTGTTTTATTTCTTTGATTTACCTAGCGATTGCTCTTTGCCTCTCTCTTTCTGTAGCTATCTTCATTCCTTTTCTTTTGGGCCTTTCCGCCTATCGTTTTTGGTTCTTGCTTTTGTTTTAAGGAAAGGTTAGGAAAGGTTTTTGAAGGGGATTCTCGTTGTTCTTGGTCAAAAGTCAAGTGCTGCGGTCTGGTCCCTGTAGAGCAACCTGGAGGTGAGGCAGTCTTTCCTCTCGGAAAGAATTACATTTTCTTTCTCCCACCTCATTACCGCAATCACCTCAATGACACAAGTACAAAGGCAAGTGGGAACTAACAGAACATCTGGCATACATTTATTAACCATTTTATTTCCTCTGAACTCGGAATTGCATTGCGAACAATGTACAGTCTTTGGTGTCTTTGGTCTGCATGGAATTCCATCACCCTTATGATATTATGTGCACAATTCATTGGTATTTCTTGCATTTGACAGGGAGGATACATACATATATGTACATTTTCCATTTACATCCTCACGTAAGAGCCAAGCGGGTGGCATTAGAATGGCGCCAAGTCGCTGTTGGCTCGACTGTCGCCTTGTGCTCGTTAGCCCCGCCAGAAGTTGGCGAAGCGGGTGGGGCAGGAACCTATTTGTGGCACGCCAACAGCTGAGCCAGCGGCAAAGGACAATCGCACGAAAACAAACAAATGCTCAAGGAGCAGGAAGCCAGGGACAGGACAGGACGGAGGCGGAGGCGGAGTTGTCTGCACAGGAAGGGGACCATTCACGAAGGCAGAGCTTGAGGAAAGGAAACATATGAACAAAAGTTCCGCAGTTAATTCGTTTTGATGTCGCTGCTCAGACAAGGTCTGGCCCGAATCCTTCTGAAGGCCGCAGGACTCGGGAGCAGGCCTTATGGGATGCGCGATGAGTCATCCTCGGGCACGCATAACATCTATTCCGTTGTCAGTTCTTTATGGCTCCAGAAAGGAGTCCGTCCACCCGGGGGAACATCGTAAACTTCCCATTGCCCGCCGTTCGTTGATTATGAAATTTTATTCGCTGCTCAATTAACTCTTGTCGAGCACGCGATGGCCCACATAGCCGCACGGCCAGCCGGGCCCGCTCTGGCAGATGTATGCAAACAGTCCGATGCCGCTCAGTGGGGTCTCAGATTGCGGTAGGTTGGCCTCTAAATGGCGCCGATTGGCGTCCTTTTAGCTGTGTTTGTGCTGCCACGCCCACTCCGACACTGGGTCTGCCTCTGCCTCCCTCTTCCCCCAGTCGCAATGTGCAGTCCTGCTGTTCCTTGTTCGCTGGGAAGGGAAGACCTTCAAGCGGGTGGAACGCACTGCCGAAAATAAAAATCGATGCGTGGCTCCAGTTTGACGGACACATCAGGCATGGTGGGGTCGTGAACTCCGTTGTCAAAGGTCAATTCGGTTGGCGTCGTTGGGTAGGGGTTGGGAGGACTAGGGTTGAGAAAGAATGAAATATTTCACTGGACTCTCTAAGATACACTTGGGTCCTTCTTTCCTTCCCTCCTTGACTTCTCACGAGTTTTGCAATATGCAGAATGTTGTGTTCCTCTTGGCCTGCACCCCCGCCACTTCATCCCCATCCCTCTCTCTCTTGTCGGAATAAATTAAGTTTAATTGAAATTTTTTCACAAACATAAACTCTCTTCGACCGCCGATGGCCGATGGCTGATGGCCGCCGCTGAGCAGTGAGCAGTGAGCCAGCGGCTGGCTTGTGATGTCATCAAATCGAAGATGTGTGTTCTATCAGTGTGCAGTGTGTCGCTGTGTCGCTGTGTCGGTGTGTCAGTGTATCGGGTGTGTAAGGGACCTTGAGAGCCCCTACGATCGTGACTCACACATTGACTGCTGTGCGCCGTGCTCACACCAGTATGTAAAGTGGGCCTGACTTTGCCTCCTTTTATGGCGCTGCTCTTGAGCTGTGGCATCTTGATTGGATTAGATTGATGGATATTGAAGGATGATTGCTCGGGGATGCCATATATATGCAGTCGAATTCTGTAATTGCTTTGTAGACTTTACTTTACTTTAGCTTACTCCCCTTTTTGTCACACAACGGAAGTGGCTTAGGCTTTCAAGCCCCCTGTTCATCAGAACGATGGATAATTAGGGTTAATTTCTGGATTCCCAACACTGCCATGGAGATGACCCACCTCGGTGTCAGGGCTAGAGCGAGCGGCAGACAAACAGCACGTGATTCCAACAGAATAAGTGAATTCCGTGAATGAATCACGTTTGCTGGGATTTGTGCTTCTCTCGTCCTCACAATCCTGCGCCTGCAGTGCACTGGAATGGGACGAGCGTGTTCTCCTCCAACAGAGATTCAGCCTCAGACGAGGATGACGATGACGCGTCGAGACAAGTACGCAAAAAAAAGGATGAACGGAAAATACTGAGAGATGGGGGATGGGCAATGGGAGAGTAGATGCCTGCAAGCCAACTAACGGCAGCTGCTTCTCCTGGTGGCATTGTCCTCTGTCGCTGTCCTTGCGGAGGGAAAGAGATAGAGCGAGAGAGAAAGGCAGAGCGCGGAGAGGGGTGGTTTGGTTCAGCTCTGTGCAGTGTCTGGCCTCGCTTACAGCATTTACACGTCCTTCGTCCGTTCCTAGCTTTTTGCCACTCGCAGAAATGTTGGCTTCTATTTTTCGGTCTGCAAGGGACGCAGCATCGCACATCCCGCAGACAGGGGGTTGGCGCTGGCGCTGGCTCTTGCTCTGGCGCTGGCATTCGGTTATTTCGTTATTTATTTTCTATTTCGTTCTCTATTGCGCCTCTGTCCTATGCTTCTCCTGCTGCTCTGCTGCCTCTCTGCGGCTTCTCTGCTGCTCTGCTGCCGCTCTGCTGCTCTGCTGCTCCGCTGCTCTGCTGCCTCTCTGCTGCTCTGCCGCCTATCTACTGCGCTGCGGCCTCTCTGCCACCTCTCTGCCGCTTCTCTGCTGTTCTGCCGCCTCTCTGCTGCTCTGTTGTGTTCGCCCGTTCGTCGCTGTTTTGTTTTGTGCTCGCGGCTCGCAACGTTTCGGCTGCCACAGTGGCGGTCAAAATATTGGGATCTGGCGTTCGAATAGCAGCAAAGGGAGAGGATTGTTATCGTGATATTATCCTTTGGCTCCATGGAAATTTCATCTGCATTTCCGGCACTGGGAAATTGGCTTATTGCTTTCCTGTTTCTGCGGCAAGTGCCACAAATGGATTATTATGCCGTCTGGCTGCCGCGCGCCGTCGTGACAGTTTCGAATCCCAACCCATCCCCCCACCCCCCCGGCAACCACAACCGCAATAAAGCACCGCAGGCGCCATTCGCCATGAAATTTGGAAACCGCACGCTTCCCCCACCCGTGGTCCCTTCTGGATCCTTATCGAGATCCTTGATATTGGTGTCGGCGCACCGGTACTCCCGCCGAGCGGCGCCCGCAACCAATTATTTCACGTTTCTGTAAACAAACAAAAACAAAAACAAACAAAGGAGGGAAGGAGGACAGGAGTAGCGGACGGGCCCATAAAATAAAAATTAATTTCCACACACTTTTCGAAATTGTTATTTGTCGAGAAATTCTCCGCTCTCCGCTCTGTCTCTGCCCGCGCGTGTCCTGCGGCGCTGGTAACCGAGAAACCGAGAGAAACCACCCCGCAAATAAATGTCCCGTTTCCAATGCATCCCATATCCATCCCTTTGTGCCTTTTGTGGATGTGTAACTCCTGGAATTGCCCTCATTGTTGCTGGACTTATTGGCTGCGCTTCGGGGGCGGCTAAGCACCCCCCCCTCCCCACCCCACGCTCCAACTGCCGCCAGCGTGGACTCTGATCCCAGGTCGCTTGGGTCGCATGGTTTGCATTCTGGCCATTAACATACTCGACACTCTCACACTTCCTGCCCCCGGGAGGGGGGCTAGGAATCCTTTGCTGAAGTGCTTTGCGTGCCTTTGAAATTGTTGTTGCACCACCTCCGAGCGGGGGCGGGGGGAGAGGGGATAATCTGGAAGCGATTACTGTGCGCTGATCAGAGAATCCCCAAGTTTCCTTTTTAAACTCCGATGAACAGCTTAAAACCCTTTGGCTCCACTCCTGACGGCGCATTCAACTCTGGGCCCTGACAGTGGCCATGACCATTATTTCCAGCATCGGCAGGGAAACGGTTTTACTTTCCTTCGGGGCTCCACACTGCCAGCAAGGCGGGGGAGAAAAAAGTTTACGCTAAATTTCAAAAATACAAAGGAGCAGAGCACAGCAAAAGGCCCCCAGTCCTCCCCAGTCCCCCTCAGTCCTCCCCAGTCCTCCCCAGTCCCCCTCAGTCCTCCCCTGTCCCGCCTCCATTCAGTGTGTGTGCGCAGCTGTTGCCCGTTGAAGCTCAGACTCAATCTCCACCTGGCGCAGTCGCGTCTTAACTCACCCACAATCCGAGAACAACAACAGCTAAGGAGCCCCAAGGCTGAGGAGAATTCGATATGACCAGCCCTTGCCACTCCCCCAAGCCCCATGCACCATGCCTCATGCCCCTTTCATCTTTCCCATCTCCCAGTCAGCGCTGAATTGCATTTTCGCCGAACGACCGCAGACGGTTGCAGTTGGGAATTTATGAAACCATGCTCCACGACTCCACGATTGGAGTTCCGTCAGCTGCTGATAAGAGCTACCCACACGCCCTCCCTCCGCCTCACTCCTGATCCCAAACGAAAACAATCTTCAAAGCAGAAGCAAAAGCAGAAGCAGAGCTAAAAGGAGAACGCACACAGCCCTTACAGGGTATCAACGAAAGCACTTGGCTTTGACGACAGTCCAGGCACAATGGAAAATCAATAGACACCGGGCCGGAGTCCAAATTCGGACTCTGCTCTACGCAGTTTGAATGGAGCCTCCCCCACAGGGCCTCACCTCCCCTCCCCGCCCAACCCTTCGCTTGTTTGTGTTGGCGCCATGTCATGTCGGAAAATGTCTCATGTTTGCGCTCCTGTCCTGCCACTTGACATTGTGTAGTGTCCCTATCCCCGCCAGAGTCCCCGCCAGAGTCCCCCCCAGTGTCCCTCGGACTTGCTGTTGCTGCAAATTAAATATATGTACAGGTCACATAACTCCCTCGAAATTGCTATGCAACGGAGGAGCCGTCCATGGCGTCGCCGGGCTGGCGGGGTACAAAATTTTCCAAGCGGTTGGCTACCAATTGTTGCTCTACGGAGGGGACTCCGACCCCCCCTAAGTGGCCTGGCCCGCGTCCAGGGCTGGCCCGTTCCGTGTCCGGTGGCGTTGTGGCCAGGTCCCGGCTCCAGCCTAATGGACTGGGTCACTGCAATTGAGTGCTATTGATTTATGGGGACAGTGCGGGAGGACTGATTGAATTGCTGGTAAGCAGAAACCACAATTCTGATGGAATTGCCTGCCGAAAGGAGATGCAATCATCTTATCTTGCCCTGGGGCATTCTGCATGCCTCAGCAGAATGTTGTCACATGTCCACTCCCTCGCACAGATAAATATCACTGCTGTGTGCCACATTTGCAGGCGTCTGTTGCAGGCACCGGACATTGGACTACGTCTGGGATTGGGATTGGGTTGCGGTGTGGTGCGAGGCACACACAGCCGTGCACACGAATGAATGCCAGCTCCAATTAAAATGCCGTCTATCCGAGTTTGTTTTCTGTGCGGAACCTCCACTGGCAAACAGTGCAGGCCAAAAGTATGCGGCGCCAAACAATCATCTGCATCTGCACGTGGGCGTATCTGGCAGCATCTGTAATTAGAGCCAGGCCCAAAGCCAATTAACGGCCTCTAGGGGCTGGCTTCCATCATTTCCCCATCGATAGGGGCCGCTTTAGGGTGCGTCACTTATGGCTCGGCTTGGCGGCCTGTCCTGTCGATCAGATGCCACCGCTGACCCCAAAAACTATGAACTTTTTCACACCTTAAACGGCTATGGCCTGGGCGGGGCCGGCGGCTCTCATGGCATTCCATCGTTTACCTGCAAAATGATGGCATTTTATGGCCTGGCCATTAAAATATCCATGGTTTCATAATTAATTAGCAAACACATTTGATGTCCCTGCAGTTTTATGGCCAAAGTCATTCATTTGTGGATATGGAATGGACGGGGCAGGGCAGGGGATGGACGGGGCAGGGGATGGACTACGCAAATTAGTTGCGTTCTGACCCCTCGCTCTTGGCCACGGCTGGGTCTCTGCTCTCTTCCCGTCCAAGCCAGAAGCATGCGTCGTGCCACTCGAGCACACAATTGCACTGCCACTGCCCCCCGTCCCTTCCTTTCTCTGGCGTAAGCCTCAATTTCCTCTTGGCGGCTTCTTTGTTGCAGCTGATTTTACGGAATGCCCCACGTGCACCGAAGATTACGCTTGTTGACTCTAAGCAGCAAGCGGCAGGCAGCAAGGGGCAAGCGGCAAGCGGCAAGCAGCAAGCGGCAAACTGGTTTCATTTTACCTCTTGGCAGCATGTCCCAGGCCCAGGCCCAAGACCAAGTGCCACATGTGCTGCCACACAGACGGACAGACGGACAGACGCTGCAATTAGTCTGGCTCAAGTCGTGGCTAACGGTAAAGCGTATTACCACGGCCACTGCTGCCACTGCTGCCACTGCCGCAGACATAAGACTTCATAACCATCTGTTTGTTGTGTTTGTTGTGGCCTAATCTGTAATCGCATCAGGCTCGTGAGATTTGGCGTCGATAATGTCGGCTCAAGTGATAGATTACCATGTGCAGAGCTCTTGGCTGTAAGCTCTGGCCTGGTCTTACCCCTGGCCTCCTCCTCATCTTTAATGGGGTTTCAGTGTTTGGCCTGTTAGATAAGCCCACCGATTTCCCATCGGTTTCCCATCGGTTTCCAGTGTAAATAATATGCTTTTCTTGTCCACTTGCAGATTAGTTGAATTGGCTTTCGGAATCGCCACAACCGACGATCGACTGGTAAGCGGAGAAACTTGTTTGCCCCCACCACCACCCCCCGGCACGGGCCGACATGATAAGCAGATCACTCCAGATAGATCAGGAAAGATCAGGGACTGTACTGTACTCCTTTTCGGAGGCCTTTGCTTTCCAGTGGAGCTCCGTAATCACCTGCTCATTCGCACCATTTATGAGTATTCGCCATTTCGGGGCATCCCATTGCGGCTCCTTATCGGGAGTAGTTGAGATCTGGGATTGATGGACTCCTGCTTGCGTCACGCTTGGTGTGTGTCAATTAGACAGCGACGACAGCGACGACAACGACGGGATGAGGATGAGGATGGGCCTCTAAAACGACTTCATTACCATCAATCTTAATTGAAAAATCATCGAGGCTGCTTATAAATTCAGTGAGAAGAGGCACAGCCGCCTGCCCAGTTCCCGCGATGATTGGCGATCCTCCGTCGAGTGCGGCCTGAGTTATGGGACAGCCTCCGTGGCAAACAAGTCGGCTGGCTGATGGAGACATGCCCATAAAGTAGCTGCGTTCCCAGCGCATGCATCTCTATCTGCCACTGGGATATCTGTATCTGTCTATCTGTATCTGCATCTGCTTTTGCATTTGCATTTGCATCTGCGTCTTCGTCTTGTTTGTCCGCCTGCTCGGGTCGGGTGCTGAGCAAATTGTGGGCAATCATTGTCAATTTACAATGCATATGGAAAACGGAGGTTTCTGTACTTGTTGGCATAGAAAGTGGCAGTGGAGTGGCCACAGCCCGACGAACAGCGTTGCTCTTAGGCACACTCCACTGTACCACTCCGCCGCTTGGCTCCTCTCCCCACAGTTCACAGGCGCGCCTTGAACTACAAGCAGCGGCTCTGTCTCTGGCTCTGGATTTGGCTTTGGGGAAGGGGAAGGGGGAGGGGGAGGGGAGGGGAGTTGCCACTGTGTTTTCTGTTGTTGGGGAACACTTATCCGAGCTGGGAGATCAGTTTGTGCGGCTCTGGGGGTCGTGGGGGTTCGTTTGCTTTTATTTACCTTGTCTGCGATTTGGTGAGCCCTCCCCCCCCACAACCCATCCTCCACCATCTCCACTCTCTCTCTCTCCCTTTCCCATGCTTCGCTTATTTTTTTTTCGCTTTTATTTTATTTTATTTGCATTTTGTCGTGTACGAAATTTGTATGTTTTGTGCGTCTGCCTTTGGCGCTGTTTATTTATTCGTGCATTTGTTGTGAGCGCAGCTTTTATTGCTTTCGTTTATTGCAATTTGTTTTGCTGCTTGTTTCGTGCGAAAATAATTCAAATTGGTCAAACAAATTGCCAGGGGGAGGCGTCCTCCTGGGGCGGCAGCTGCTGTCTGCGATTAATTTCCATGTGGCGACACTCGCCAGTTGTCCAAATGAACGGCTCAACTGCTCGAATAGAGTCCAGTTTTTGGGGGGAGAAAGAATCAATATTCCATCTAGAAGCCACTGGCCAGAGGCGGAGTCGTCAGTCCGCCGGGGGGTACTGGGGCTCTGACCCACTCAAAGACAATCAAAGTGCTCGGATGCTCCTCCCCCCCACTCCGCGGCGGTGCCTGGAACGACGCTTATCGCGTTTAACGCACCATATCATTGCTCAGAGGGCTCCCAAGAACCCCCAACCCACTCAACCCACACTCCCCCGCCGGAGCAGCAGTTACAGGCCATTAGGTGCTCTGCTCTAACCGGCATCCATGGGATGCGTGTCAGTGTTGTCAAACGATGTCATCAGCCATGGCCGATGCCGATGCCGATGCCGGTGCCAAACGCGGAGCATTTCGTTTAATGTCAAGTGTCTGACATACATTTTTTGTCCCTGCTCCCTGTTCCCCGTCCACATACGCCTACTTGCGTAGTCGTATCTGGAAGATCATCGCCGATTACGGCAGAGCAGCCTTAATTAGAAATGCAGCAGCAACTGCTGTTCTCCGGTGGCCAGACTCAATTATATAATTACTCTGGCTGGCATTCTGTAATTGCAAGCGGGGGAATGGCAGTGGGGCGTGGCTGGAAGGAATGCCAGAACAGAACACCAGCCACCTGCCGCCGCCCATTAATATCCGTTCATTGCTCGGCATGACGCTGCCACTTCAATTGTTTCCATATCTGTGCTAATCGTGCCCCACTTTGGCTGCACGGACGGCCATTGTTGCAAATGGTGGTTGCATGCAAAGGTCTGATAATTGCACAACTCCGTTTGGGGGCACAGTTCTCCTCAATGGAGAGTTCTCCATTCATTTCGTAATCGGGTAAGTGGGGAAGGTCTTGGGGAAGTTTCTTGGAAGATTCTTCGAAGAGCAGAAGGACTGGAGCCTGACTCATTGGCGTGTTCTGGGGACCCAAATGACTGTTTTGGAATTTGCGTGGCACACAGAAACATTTTAATAGCATCTGACCTCATTTGACGGATATGCTCCATAAACCCCCGAGCCACAGAGGCAGTGGCAGTGGCAGAGGCAGAGACACGCTTTAAACTAGCGTCAAACGCGAATTAAATTGCTAGAAATTGAAAGTGACACTGAGAGCACAAATTCTGGCCTGCAGCGGCCATAGATGGATTCTTCTATTAGAACAAATTGCACGGCCCCCTCCCGCCTTGCCGCCTCCACTCATTCCCGAATCTCCCATTCGGTGACCAGTGGAGCATACAAATTGAACATTTAAAGGGCTTAAGTAGGAAATTGAGAAACCCAAGAGGAAAACAAAGTCCCCCCCCCCCCAAAAGAGGAAACAAACGACACTTGTCTTGGGTCTTCGCCAGCTCAAAACTCAAGACTGAAGACTCAAAACTCGAGACTTAAGTAAACCTAAATAATGTGTAAACAAAAGGGTCGTAAACAGCGAAGAGTCGTCGTCGTTATGGGGCGGGCCTGAGGCCCAATGCAAATTGTCTGTTAATTACTGCAAGGGGCGAGGGGCGAGGGGGGGTCGCTTATTGGGACCAAAAGGATCCGATGACGAATGTGAGTAGTGGAGCCAATGGAATGCTGTTTCCAAATAGAACTGAGAGCTCGAGAGTGATATGTTTTGGTGTGGGACTGTCAGCTCAGCCTTGGGTCTGAATTGGACAACAATGGAACGCCTTGAAACCATTTTGTATGGGATATGTTTGCCCACAAACGGAACTTGTGTCCATCGAGCAGACATCATCGTGTCGGCGGGGCGTATGAGCGATGTCCGACGAATATTGATGGCCTGTCAAGAGTCATCGTTGAGAGCTCAGCAAACACTTGTGGGCACGGGAGGCTGGACAGGCAAAGAAACTACGTAATGAGTGCAGCACGCGATGTGGCAGTCGGGCAGGTCTGGCTCCCACTGGAGCGCATCGTCCAAGTGCATTCTGGATCCCCCCCCCCCCGCCGAGCGAGTGCGTAACTTGATGCCTCTTCGGCACGAAGGCTGTCAATGAGGTGCTAATGGAAGAGCCCTGGCATTGAGGCGTCTCCATGCTCCACACTCCATGCTCCACACTCCAATCTCGGCCGCAGCGTACAGTTATGCCACAACCGCAGCTACGATCGCAGTTGTTTCTTCCTCGCCACCAGTGGAGGGCTCTTCTTTGGGCGTAATCCGAGAAAGCGTAAACCATCAAGGGCTTGTGGCTTCCGAACAAGCGTGTACCCCAGATGTGGAGAGCGATTTCGCTGGCAACTCTCCGGCCAGACCCCCAGTGCTGAGAGGAGGCCCAGTGCTGGATCCACATCACGTTCCGTTGATGTGTGCCGTATCAAAGCCCATTTAAATAATTAAATATCTAAATTGCAAAATAAACGGCAGCTCGTTAATAGATGAACAAAACAAAAGGCGCCGGCGTCCCACAAGGTTTCTCAGCCAGCGACAGCCGCTGGCGTGACGTCTGCCAGTGTTACCAACAGTTTGAAACTCGAATAAAAATAGAGCCCCCCCCCACCCACTCACGCAAGTTATATTCGTAAGAACAGCACACAACAATGTGTCAGATACAGCGACAGATACAGATACATTGTGTGCCGTAATTATACTCTTTCGTCTCCGTTTCCAAGCCCCAAAATGATTTGCGATGTGTGTACTGCTCGCATGTACAATATTTCTATGAACTTCTAATGCTGACAGATGCGATTTTGATGCCCGATGCCTGCTTACGGCTTTGGGCTTACGGCTTACGGCTTAAGGCATGCAAATGAGCGAGAAAGCGACTCAAAAAGTATCCGAGTAGCGAGTATCGGAGCGACAGTGTCTGGAATGACGACATCTTGTCGTCTTGTTATAAATCTGGAAATTCGATTAACCCTGGCTGCCTGCCTGCCAGTGGGGATTGGAGGAGTCACCTTGATGCTCGCACTCTCGCACTCTCGGATATCGTTCTGTGATACAAAAAAGCCACGGCTTTGTGGCGTATTTATTGCCCAAGCTTGTTCAATTGAAACATTCGCCATGTGGCATTAGAGCTCTAGAGAACTCTGCAGAGCATCGGCCTGTGAAGGGCAGTCGAGTCTCCCCCCAGAGTCGAGTCTCGCCTGCTTCGCTTCGACTCTTCTGTGTATCCCCTGAGCGAAAACCAGTTCAAGTTTAGTTGTTGTTCGTGGCTCTCTTGTTTTGGCGGTAACAATTTTGGGATTAGCACGTGGCTGCCTTCTAGAACGCCCCGCAGGACCGGTTTTGTTTCTGTTTCTGTTTCTGCCTCCGATGATGACGTAGCCCTCGGTGCTCTTGGAACACATGTGGCCTGCTCTCAAACGGCCCATGACCAATTGTCGGGGAGGGGGCGGGGGGGAAACTGCGCAATCCCCGAGTGGGGTCAATGTGTTCGCGGCGATCGGTGCGCCCAGTCGAGGGGGAGACTGTAGGGAAAATCTCTTATTAAATTATTGAATTCAATTAGTTGCTGTTCAAGAGTGCTTTGAGTGCTTTTCCATCTAGTGACGGTCGTCGCGTCTTTTCGTGCATAATTAAAAAGCAATTATAATGAAATATTGTCAGATGTTGCAAGTGCAGGGGGTTCAACAGCACTTGGGGC